CAGTCTATAGCAGAAGCTTTAAGAAAACTAGTCATATAGGGTAAGGTGCCCTTGAAACGTCTGAAGAATCGGTGAAATGGCGCTGAAGTCGACGGAAACCTTGCATACTTTTATTAATCCATACTAAATTATAGAAATTCTACTAATAGGATTTTTTCAAGAGTAGGTCATTAATTCAGGATCCAAAAAGATCAGGGCAGATTTTCTGAAAGGAAACACCTACTGAAAATTCCTAGTCTTGTTCTGTTTCAGGTGGCGTTAGTGGAACTGCAGTATGACCAGAACACACCGCATTGGCTTTTGATACTGCTCGGTGTTGTCACAACGTTGTTGGTATCGGTGCATTTGCTGGCGCTGATGATGTCCACTTGCATACTGCCGTATATGGAAGCCACCGGATGCACACAGGACTCGCCACATATACGGTTGAAGTCAGTTAGCCATCTGTAAACTTTCTTTCGGCCCTATATACCCAAATTACTATTTCGCTCAAACCTAATGACAGAGTAAGTTGAAGTTATGGGTGACTGCGAAGACACGTAGATAGCTACTTGATATTTGTTAGGAATGGGATTCAACGTCCGAGAATCCGATGTCTGGTTCGGCATTTGGGCATTTGTGATGTGTCAGTGGTGTCAGTCCTAGCACCAATCTTCCCTCCCCCTTATTATCTAGTATGAGTATTTGTTGTCAGCCTCGCTTTCCCTTGCTGCTCCTTTTGCATCGTATTGTGGGCCTGCCGTAACGTTTCATCTCGGATAGTATGATGCTACTGTAGCCACACATCATGCACGAATTAGAAGCTCAAGCTCTATCCATATCACCGCCCTCGATTCGAGCAGCTTTTTTTCTCAGTTCAAGGCCTATGGGTCCGTTGAAGAATTTTTCAGTTGTTTTTGAAATTGCTGCTCCTGGTTTTATTCAAGGTAGTTATCGCGATGGCTGGAGGGTGGTGTGCTTTTGTGCTGGTCTTCAAACCCGCTGAAGATGCGATTTCAGCCGCACCCCAGCACGCTAAGTGGTCCGGCACACTCATGACGTTCATTGACGTCATCAAAACCGCCCCGCCCTCCAGCCATCGTATTCACTGCCTTTGAGTAGATGTCATAGAATGCAGCAGGAATTACAGAGTAAAGCTACAAAGGTCTAATCGATTGCCATATCCACTCTAATGAAGCGATGCGACCTCCGGTTTGTGCCTCACTATATAGGCTGAGAGATCGGTGGACTGGACAACCCAATGGATCCTTCCGGTTGTGGTCAGGGTTAAACTTTATGTTGGGAAACATTTGGATCTAGCACGATCTCCCCTTGGAAAAAGGATCCTCACACGGTTACCCCACAAATACAGCCCACTTCGTCGAGCCTCGTCCAATGGACAGTTGACCCTGGTATGCGCTCTTTTGTTACACTATTGTAGTACGACATTGATAAGGCCTTACTAGGCTTGAAAATTCTTGATATTCGAAGATGCCGGTATAAGTTGGCCCTGGTTTCGCTGTTCTGTTGCCCTACAGTATTATCTCACAAATTGAAGTGGACTCATTCATGGGACAGCTTCCCACATACGAATGTTCCTACTCGAAGTGGGCCACCGCTCATTACATGTTCCAGAAAAGTTAACTTAAAGACCCTGAGGGTTACGGTGTTTTTTCATACTTCGGAATTTCTAAAATGTTTTTCTCGAGAAAGAAAAAGAAGCAAAGTCCTAAGGAGAAGATCTTTTCTCTTACTCACAATCAGTATATGTCTTTCAGATTCTACATCGACTTGTCGTGGCTCTTCTCTACATGTATTGGCTTATTACTTTTCCTCGTTGAAATTGGGATCATATTTTTTGTGAAATTCACATCTGTGGACTATCAACTCGCTGGCTACATTACCACAGGAATGTTAAGTGAGTGCTCATACATCTCTTATTTTTCCTTTTTTGTACACTTTGTGCTTTTTTGTGGCCCTTCTTCTTTCTCTAATGTGGTTTTTCAGTTCCTGTTGTGGTTGTGTTTGTGATATTTTCATACTTAATTCATAGAAGCCGGGTATCGCACACTCTA